GAGCGAGGTGGAGGGGGAGGAGGTGGAGGAGGAGCACGCGTTGGAGGAGGAGGAGGAGGAGGAGGAGGAGGAGGAGGAGCGGGAAAGAGTCTACTCACAAGATTGGCGCCCGCCCGAACATGGGAGACCGAGCAATCTTCTCCTGCAAAATCTAAAACAGCTGCTGAGACTTGACAATGTTGCATCGCTACAGAACCCACGCCCTCCACCATTCCACCCTCCGACCCAAACACCTATCTCATGCCAAGTCTGTGGCGAAGCTCTGCCGCTCGGACGCTACCCGACGCAGCGAGCTTGCGAAGCTGAGGTAATTTAACTTGCTGTTTCTTTGCCTCGTAGGTTGCGTGCCTCTGGCTTGTTGCTGACTTACCTGCTGCCTGTCTCACATGTTCGCGATGCGGTCGCGCAAGTAGTTCTGCAGCCTGCGTTCGAGGGCCGTCGGAAACGGCGCTCCCACGATCGCCCGGCCCCCGCTACTCGCGATGGCCACGTGCGTCGCGACGCGGAGATGGTAGATCTAAATACGCTGCAGATTGATGCGCTCTTTGCCCTCCTCGTCGCGCTTCTGGTTGATCTTGTCCTCGAACTCTCCCGCCCATGGACTCATCACCAACGCATTGAAAATGATGTGTACATCCCATATGGTTGCTTTCCCTGGTTCGTTGCATGCTTTCTTCACCTTGAAGTAGGGCAAGATGTCTCCGACAAAAACCCTGGTGGATGACCCGGATCACCATAGCGAAGTGCTCTGGGGTCTCGCGATATGGCTGCGGAGTCGCGGTCAGGTTTGCCAGCTCGTAGAAGAACGTTGCTCCGATGTGCGCGCGGGGCGACCCCATGTTCGCCATGCCGTGATTCACCTTGTCTGTGTACTCTTGTCCTTCCTGCGCGCCTGCTTCTGACGGTGCGCGATGCATCTGCCTCCACCTTCATCGCCCCCGTCCTGGGTATTCCGCCTTTTGCTGCGCTGGGCGCCCACCACAACGAACTCCCCTGCATGCTGTCAGTCAGGCCTGCCAGGGCTGGGCGCGCGCCGTCTCACGCGGCTCAGATGACGCGGCAGTTCGGCATCCTCGCGGCAGCAGACGCGGAAGTGGCACACAGGGTGCACGTCGGGCCGAAAAGCAAAAGACATAATTCGCGCAGAGCAGGGGCGCGGGCGGCGCGGGGGCATCGCGCGAACACAACGCAGGCATGATTCGCGGCTGGCGAAAGCTGCACGGCACCACGGGCACACGTTAGTGATCACGACTAGCAAGTGCATGTTCCTCATCTTTTGGGCGCGCACGACGCGCGCCGTGCGCGCTCTCATGTTGTTGCAAGCGATTGCACGCACCGTGCCGTCTTAGTGCCCGCGCGCGCGTAGATGTACTCAGATTCGATGTTGCCGCGGCTGTCCGCGTCGCTCTGCACCTCCAGAACGCCCATCCGGATGGCCCCCTCGTCCGATGCCACCTGAAGCTCGAGTAGTTATAGCACCCGTTTCCAGAGTTTGCTGATGCTGGCGCAAAGTAGGGGGGGGCCCAGGGAGCCTACCTCGACCTTACATAAACTCTTCCTGATGACTGGGTCCTGGGATGGCTGCAATGCAATTTTCTTGTCAACCCATGACCCTGCGAAGGGGCTCTCGAAGTTCGCCAAGCATTGCATGCCCCCCAGGCACTGTCTTGCCCACGGCGCGCTGCGCTCTGTCAGCGCGCCCACTGCGCTGAGCCTGCGCCTGCCCAACTGCACTTCGAGCCCTGTTGCCCCGAACGTGGCTGCGAGCACTTGGCGGCGACTATCGGGTTCGCTCGAGATGCGCCGCCACAAGCGAAGCCGCTGGGTCGCCAGCCCCGAAGCAGCGCGGCTGAGGTTCCAACATTCAAATACTCAACTGTTGGGAAGAGACCTCGTTCACCCATCGCCACATCATTTCGCCGCGCTGCCTTTCATGAGACACCTGAGAAGCCGAGCCAGCGCCGAGCCCAGCTTTTTCTGGGAACTCCTCCAGCAAAACAGACGCAGCGAGGCCCGCGATCGCTTCCCCGCACACATTGCACCGGAATCGCACGCGGCGCAACTTGCACGGGAGGCGGATATGCCATACCTGTCCTACTGTACGCCATGCTACACGTGCTCCTCTGACGTGGCCCCTGAGTTCCGCCTGCAGCACGCCGTCGAAGCTGATGGTCGGGCCTAGGGCCCGCACTTCCCGAAGAACGCCCCCATTCTATCCTACCCTGACGCCTTAGCTCCAGTGCCGCCTCGAAGGAGCCCGTACCTGCGAGTGCGATCATCTGATTCGTCTTGTCTGCGCTCACGCGGTGCCCGTTCTTGTGGTTGTGCTGCTGCAGCGTGAAAGTGGCGCGATGAAACTGTTGTGCGATGTACTTGGCACGAGGTGCGCATGCGTGAAGTTGCACTCGCGGTACGTCGTCTACGAATAGACCTATTCCTATGTCCACCGCCTCTTTGCTGATCGGGCACCCTCCCCTGAGCAACGCGCACGCAGAATTTGAACAACTGAATTGCTCGTTCCATTCTTTGAGTGCTGGGGAGTAGATGTCAATGAAATCGCCTGCTGTCAGCGAATGGCCCATGGTCGCGCCTTGCCGCGGCAAGAAGCCGGCCCCGGCGTCGATCGTATCGACGTGGATCGCGGCCTGGTTTACTGCTTGTATCATGAGGGGCGCGCTCCCAACCCTACTGCATGCGTGATTGTGTGCTTGTAGTGCATCTCGCGATGCGCAAGCAAAAGCGTTCGCGCCGTCGTGGTTGGACATGCCACGGCTCATGTGCGACGCGCGGCATCTCCAACATTATGCTGCTATACTGGGCATGCCACCCTCTCGTCGCCGCCCTCGTGGCCCCCCGCGCGCGAGGTCTGGCGTTCTCGGTCTCCTGGAAGTCCCCCGAGGGTGTCCGAAGTATCACATGCCGAACGAGTCTAAACAATGAAATACTCTTTGGCCCTTGATCCCCCGATTGGAGATATTCTCGGGCGCGGCGCACACCTGGAACGTCACGGCTGCGAGCGGGAACGAGCCTTTCAACCAATGAGCGCCAGCAGATCATTGCAATGCCTGGAGAACGTCATTGGCACATGTTTTTTTTTCTTCCCACGCTGATGCGTATACCGCCTCTTGCCAACGCCCATGCACAACGCCTCTGCCAGTGCGCCGCACGCGGGCCCAGCCCTCCTTTTAGGCGCTTTCTTATGGTACGTAATATGTCCTGGTCGGCCACGTCGCGTCAAACCGCTCGGCCCCGATGCATCGCACAAGTGCAATAAAAAAACCTTGTCGCCCACCCACGCACCCCAGCCCAGCCGCCTGCCATCCATGCCTCCACGTTGGGGTGATTGGCCAAGTCCACCTTTCCATTGTGTCATTCCTTGTCTCGGCGAAAACAATAAAAACGTGTCCTTGGTCCCCGCCCTGCTGATGCGACTCTCAGTCCGTGTACCTCTGCGGGTCGTCCGTGCTTCCGAGCCTGAAATATTTCTGCACATAGCTTCTCGAAATGTTCCTGCTTCTGAGATCTGTGCAATACAAGTAATGTCCGACATAACCTGTTGAGTTCAGCCTCCGCCTCGTCAAATATTGTGGCTCCATCGCCTTGAAAGCTCTTATTCCCAATCACGCGAAGTTGTTCTCGTAGCCGTCCTCTTAGCCCGAGTGGGTCCACTCTACGTCGTCGTTGCTCCTCGTAGTCGACGATGCGCTCTGTCTTGGCTGGAAATGCGCCTCGCGCTGCTGCCCGAATACACTCAGACAATTTGCTCCAAGCTTCCTGTGCAGTCCCCTGATCCCAGATCTCATTCCATTCGTGCTCGGGGCTGGTCGTCGCATCTTGCTCCGATGTTTAAGAGATTCGAGCCGTCCATAACCTGAGCTGCATGCTGCCAACATTACAAAACGATTGGCAGGAGGGTATACTTCCCAGTCAATGCCTTCATCGGTCGTATAGCAACTCGACGAGGACTGGTACATTATCATGTAAACGGGTGCTCACGTATCTCTGAAGTCTCCTTCCCAGTCCAAGCAATGTTCGAGTCTGTGGACTATGTCTCGCATGCTGGCTGGCCCCGCGATGTGGTCATCATTGAAGCTATGCTGGCCCTGGAAATAGTTGGGGGCCGTCTCCCGATAAGCGTCGCACATGCTGAGGTAGTTGTCCTGCAAGAATTATCTGGCAATATTCGATACATTCCTTTATCTTCACTATCGCGCGTGACGAATAGTTCGCCAGCCCTGTTCGCTTGTATGCCAAAGCCACAGTTCCAGATTCCAACCACCAGTGGACAACAAGCGTGTCGAAGTTCGTCCATTTTTCTGGTATCCAACGAAAAAATGGTGTCGTCCCTTGCCGCAGTGTGTGCGCGGCCATGCGTTTGGGCGGAATGTAGATGGGAAAAGTCGCAAGCGATATCTCATTCATTGCAAGACGCGCCATACTGATGCGACCTGTGATGCCCAAGCTGGCTGGCGGCAGGGAAACCTGCTGCAACGTGCACATACGCTTGCCATACACGATCACCAGGCCGCATGAGTTGTTAGGAGTTCTTGATTTCCTCCATCCCATTTGCACACGGTTGTGCTTCGGTCGTTGATACTGCGTGGCGGTCGCATCGTCGCTCTCTGACCATGTGCCCGTGCTAATACATACCACGATGTCTGCTTTCGTCTGTGTCAATCCTCCAGTCGAGAAATATCCGCCCACTGGACGTTGTGAAAGATAAGCTTCATTGCAAAATGAACGAGTGTAGTGTGGGGAGTGTGCGATTCGGTACGCAGCTGCTGTCCCGAGTCGGCCCTGTCCCTCGCGTGCCGCCTTCTTACGCCGTGGGCATCACGTGTCGTGATAAACAAAGGCGCGGTGGGAGCTCGCCCGGGTTCTGGGCCCAGACAGCTCCTTGAGAGGTGGAAGAGGTGAAGGAAGGGAGGAAGAGAGACGAGGAGAGATGAGGAGAGATGAGGAGAGAGGAGGAGAGAGGAGAGAGGAGGGAAGCCGCCCGCCTCCCGCCGCAGCTCGGGCTGCCAGAAGCACCGGCTCGGCAAGACCAGGCAGCAGGCGCCGCAGAACGAGTGCGGCTGGCCTCGCCGAGGGGCGGGCTCGGCCCCCTCCTCGTCCTTCCCAGAGGGGAGAAGGATGAAAAAATCACGACAAAGGTTTTCTGTTGTTTTCGGCCTCCGAGGGGCCTCGCCGCGCCCCCGGAGCGACAATTAGCCTGGCGAAGGGCCCAACCATATGCAGCTGTGAATGCCGCAATCGTGGGCACTGCCTTCGGTGGAGTTCCCTGTGGGGCCACGAACCCTCTGAGGAGTGCGCCGACATGAGGGTGGAACTGCATGCGAACGCTGTCACTGGGGCCTTCGGTGGAGCTCCCTGTGGGGCCACGAACCCTGTGAGGGGTGCGCCGAAATGAGGGTGGAACTGCATCCGAACGCTGCCACTGGGACCTTCGGTGGAGCTCCCTGTGGGGCCACGAACCCTGCGAGGGGTGCGCCGAAATGATGGCAGAACTGCATGCGAACGCTGCCACTGGGGCCTTCATGTGGGGCCACGAACCCTGTGAGGGGTGCGCCGAAATGAGGGTGGAACTGCATCCGAACGCTGCCACTGGGACCTTCGGTGGAGCTCCCTGTGGGGCCACGAACCCTGCGAGGGGTGCGCCGAAATGATGGCAGAACTGCATGCGAACGCTGCCACTGGGGCCTTCGGTGGAGCTGTGGGGCCACGAACCCTGTGAGGGGTGCGCCGAAATGAAGGGTGGAACTGCATCCGAACGCTGCCACTGGGGCCTTCGGTGGAGCTCCCTGTGGGGCCACGAACCCTGTGAGGGGTGCCCCGAAATGATGGCGGAACTGCATCCGAACACTGCCACTGGAGCCTTCGGTGGAGCTCCCTGTGGGGCCACGAACCCTGTGAGGGGTGCGCCGAAATGAAGGCGGAACTGCATGCGAACGCTGCCACTGGGGCCTTCGGTGGAGCTCCCTGTGGGGCCACGAACCCTGTGAGGGGTGCCCCGCACTGAGGGTGGAACTGCATGCGAACGCTGCCACTCGGGCCTTCGGTAGAGCTCCCTGTGGGGCCACGAACCCTGTGAGGGGTTCGCCGAAATGAGGGCGGAACTGCATGCGAACAATGCCACTGGGGCCTTCGGTGGAGCCCCCTGTGGGGCCACGAACCCTGTGAGGGGTGCCCCGCACTGAGGGTGGAACTGCATGCGAACGCTGCCACTGGGGCTCTCGGTGGAGCTTCCTGTGGGGCCACGAACCCTGTGAGGGGTGCCCCGCAATGAGGGTGGAACTGCATGTGAACGCTGCCACTCGGGCCTTCGGTAGAGCTCCCTGTGGGGCCACGAACCCTCTGAGGAGTGCGCCGACATGAGGGTGGAACTGCATGCGAACGCTGCCACTGGGGCCTTCGGTGGAGCTCCCTGTGGGGCCACGAACCCTGTGAGGGGTGCGCCGAAATGAAGGCGGAACTGCATGCGAACGCTGCCATCGGTGGAGCTCCCTATGGGGCCACGAACCCTGTGAGGGGTGCCCCGCAATGAGGGTGGAACTGAGGGCGGAACTGCGAACGCTGCCGCTAGGGCCTTCGGTGGAGCTCCCTGTGGGGGCACGAACCCTGTGAGGGGTGCCCCGCAATGAGGGTGGAACTGCATGCGAACGCTGCCACTGGGGCCTTCGGTGGAGCTCCCTGTGGGGCCACGAAACGTTGTCCTGGGTCAGTGAAACGCAGGGAGGAGGGAGGAGGAGATGAGGAGGAGGAGGAAGAGGAGGAGGAGGAAGGAGGAAGAAGAACGCGGGGTTCAAAACGAGGACCCAACACCACAGGATGGTTGGGGAAAAACGACTCAGGATGACAAGACGGTCCCCGGGAATGGGTCGAGACCCCCAGGGGTCGACACTGTGAAACAAACTAAACAAAACGAAGTTTCAAGGTTCGAGGTGTTCTTACGCTTCCGTTGGCTCGCCGCGGCTGTCCGGCCTCGAGATGCCTTCCAGCGGCTGCGCCTCGCCGAGAGCGTTCCTGAGGTGCCCAGATGGTCCCGAACGGCCGCCGGAGGCTTGAAATATTACCCGAAAACCACTGGGGGGGCACATCGGGCTTGAGTTGGCGATACATTGCTGTTAGATCGGCGACAGGACCCCAATAGCAAAACCGCATGGCCCTGGGCGGGATGGGCCATCAGGCCCCTACCGGCAACGCATGGGCGATTGGGGGTGGATGCGGCCCTCCTGAGTCTATCCCCCCAAAACTTTGCCCCTGCCTCCCCAGGCCTCGGCGCAGAAAAAGGGCGACGGTCGACTGCTTCTCAATTCTTGCAGCCTGTTGGGGCCGCTTTCGTGCCCAAGGGCCATCCGCAAAAGCATCAGCCTGCAACGGAAGAGATGTCCTGAGAATGTGCGCGATAGGAGCCCAGGTCGTGAACAGAATACAAAGCACTGCGCTAGACATCAGGGCCCACCCCGTCCTCCTCCTCCTCCTCCACCTCCTCCTCCTCTTTCTCCTCCTCCTCCTCCTGCTCCTCCTCCTCCTCCTGTTCCTCATCCTCCCAGGCCGCTTTCGACCACCCGGTGACACAACGCTGCACATCGCCTTCGTGGTCCTCCTCTTCTCCTGGGCCCCCTTCACCATCCGGTGGCACAACGTTGCTCATCGTTTTCATTGTGGACTTCTCCCCCCTGGACGTTGACCTGGTCGTGTACAACGTCTTCCTATGCAGCACTTGTCAGTGGTGCCATTCTACTGGCGAAGCTTTTGACGACAAAACGCAATTCAAAAAATTAAACGTTTAATCGCAAAATGCTCGGTATAGCGTTGGACCAATCGCGGCTGACTGAACGCGAAAACGCGAGCGCCCGCGCGATGCTCCTCGCTGCAGACTGAAGCCCCGATGGGCACCACGATCACAGCGTTTGGCGCGAAAGGGCGCGGACCGAATTGCCTGCCAATCGCGACGTTGCGATGAGGAACCGCTGCGCCAAAGACAGCGGCAGCGGTGCTACATCGAACAAACACCTTGGAGCAAGTATCATTGCGACAGCGACATCAAAGGCGCCATTACGTTCAATGACACATTGGAGGTCGCGCAACCACGCGCGAACCCCACGCGGCACTACAGCGCGCAACCGCATGATGAACGCAAACTGCACAAGCCAACGCGATGCGCGTGCCTGCGCGCGCTAACCCACAACCAGTGGCTCGCACGTGCGCGCGCGCACGTTCGAGGGCGATGGCATCGCCAGAAGTCGCGGCGCGATGGCAACTGGCTGTGCAAATTTGCAGGTCGCCAGGCGCACTTCTGAAAGTTCTTGGGGTCGCAAAACCATAATGAAAACCGCGCCGCGCATCCAAAGCGACGCGATCACGCGAGTAGGGCCGCCCGCGCACGGCAAGGCGCGAACGCAAGCCCAAGCTGGAAAAAAAACAGCGAGGTATGGAATCGGATTGCAACGGGCGCTGGTTTTCAGGGCGCGCTAAAAACGCATCGCGCGTCGAAGCGCGACCGCCAACAGTCAGCTATGAGGCTGGGCACCCTCGCTGGGAACGGTCAGAACTCAAGAGCAGCGGCCAGGAATAGATGGGCGCCTCGAACGGCGGCGACAACAAAAAAACACATCCTCTCGTCGCCGCGCGGCGCAAGAAGCGGCGCAGTCGACCGCGCACGTCCGCACCGCGCAGATTAGCGCAAGACGCGACGCACAACGAAGGGATTGAAAGCCCGCTCGCGCGCGCACGCGCGCACGCCGCAAAGGCGGGAGCGCGCCTCCGCGGGCCTGCGCGCGTTCCGAAGGACCGACAGCGCGCGCCAGCGCAGCCTGCGCACTGGGCGTCGACCCACCGCGGAGACGACGTCGACGCAGAGGGTTCTGTGGAGCCAGAATACTTGAGCCAGAATGGTCGGATCCAAAATTGCAACAGAGGGGGGGGGGCGCCGGGGGCGGCGGGGGGGGGCAGGAGCGGAGGGTTTGGCGGGGCGGGGGCCGGAGGCGCAGCGGGGGGACGCAGAGTAGAGCGCGGCGAGGGGGGGAAGGGGGTCGGAGGGGAAGGAAAGGAAGGCCGCCACCATGCTTTCGCACGCAGAGGCGCGTGAAAACGCTTCGCGCTTCCATTTGGGATTATTTCCAACGTTCTCTAAGGCGTATGACGTACTTGCAGTTCGACAGGATATGCAATCGCACCCCGTTTGGCGCGCGCAATGCGTCTGGTTAGTGTCATCGAGGCCACGGCCGTGCATAAGTGACACAACAGCCGCCCCGTCTCAACAACCATCTGTTTGATCGTTTCAACCCCCGCGCGTCCCAATCCAATGTTGGCCCTACGCTGCCCGACAAGTTCCAAAGCGGGCCCCGAGACGGCCGCGCGTGGCCCCGAGGCGGCGCAGGAAGACATCGCGACGGCCCCTTGGGGATCCCAGAAGGCGCGCCGCGACCAGCTAATCCTTTGATTCCGCACCGACAAGACCCACGAAGGACGCACGAGGCGGCGCAAACGCGCGCAAGGATATCCGAGGGCCCCCACCACAGCACCGAAAGACAAATACTATTGATCTATCCTTGATTATATTCAAGATGTGGAGGTCCGCACCTTTCGGGCTCCCTGGCGCCCCAGGGCGGCCTTCGAGGTCCCCAAAGACCACTCCGAGACGGCCAACGACCCCTCAGAAGACCGCCCGATTGTCGGAGAGGGCCCCGAGACGGCCCATAAATCATCATAGATTATCAAACGACGCCCACAGGCGGTCTCGAAAGGAGTCCGCGAATAGGAAAAGCACTCAACCCGCGGCCGCCCAGGCGGCCCAAGAGCTCCGCAAGGGCGGCCCCCGCGCTGGTCCACAGAAGCCGACGCCATGCATGTTTCATCGTTTGTGTCCACGTTTGAAAAATCTGTCGCGTTTGTTTTCCGCATTTTCGGATGGGCCGCGAGATTGCTCCGAGCGCCCCAAAAAACTTCCAACGAGGTCCTCAACGGGGCCCATATGACGGCCCCGAACGGCCTCAAAATGACGGAAAACGAACGCAGGGCCACGCGACAACAGCGGGAACACCTGGGACAATGCGGGGCCAGTGTGCAAATTAGCAT